AAAGTGCAAAATCTTTTTTTTTTTGGAATTTTCAAGCTCTTTTTTTCCCTTAACAAAAATGTGACAGAAAACATAATTAAACCGGTGAAGCCAGGTTTTTTCATTTTTTCATTTGCCCTCAACTATTATTGGTCCGCCAAATGACTCATTTACCCTTGAATAAATGCAACATGTAGCACATAGGATGAATCAAGATGGTCTGTTATTTTGGGTACACCTGTCCTAGACGGACTAAACCCCTGTGTTGGGTCCCCTAAGTCAAGTGCACATGATGCAAACAAACATTCCTACTAGGGATCTGGCATGAGGTTGAGTTATTCTGGGTTTAAAAACCTGGGTTTATTTATTCTAGACCTGGCTTACCCGAGCGGACAGCTCGAGCCGGGGGGAGGGGGGGCAGCGTACCGGGAATACAGAAGCTTCATCGGCTTTGCAACTTATCCGAACCTCGTTTTAAAATTTGGGATATGACTCTAACAGAAGAGAAGTCACACGAAGTGCACACTCCTCCATGATTTAGAAGACTCAGAGAGAAGAAGGGTTTCATAGCAGTTTATATACAGTTCACAGAATATCAAAGCGGTAAAAGCAACACTTAACACATTAGGCCCAAACATGTAACAAAATCAGATAATTAATTAAGCCAACTATAACAATTTATCTAAGCTCAAATTCGGAACCCTGAACCAGAGATTCTAGGTTCGATCCCAGCAGAGTCGCCAGAACTGTCACACCTCCTTTTTATTACACCCCCGGAAGGGAGTATAAATGGGAGTTTTTTTCAATTTAAAGTGATAATCGAAACGGGATTGTTTTATTAAAAATTCAGAGTCGCCACTTGGGATAATTTATGGTGTCCCAAGTCACCGGTTCAAATCCTGAATCGAGGAAAAGATTGACTCTGTATTACAGTCAGCGAACACAGAAATCCGGATAAAGAATTTTATTAACCCGGGGGAAGGTGTTAGGCATCCCCGGATTCCGTGGTTCTAGCACGGTCGCTTAAACTATTATAATTGGCCTATTATCTGATTTTAATACATGTTTTAGCCTATGGTATATTTTAGCTTATTAACCGCTTTTAGTCATTTTTAAGAAGATTCAACGTTATCTAAAACACGCCTTGAACCACGCCGAATGAAATGTACCCGCGGTCCACGACACGTTCTATTTAACCTTGTTGGAAATTAGAATCGGGTCACATGAAATGCACACCCGGATCCCTTAAAAAATAGTAATGTGTTGTTTTTGACCGAACAGGTTATCTAAAACGGAGTAAATGTATTCAGACTTAGCATATAAACCATCAAAGGCAATAAACTCATGCACTTACCCATTCAATTCAATCCAACTACACCCCTGGATCTTTTGCTATTATATTTATCTACTTCAACAAAATCCATTCTTAGATTATATGAACAAACATGACATCCTAACTTAAGAAACCAACAATACAAGTACCCATTAAATTAATCTAAAATAAAGATGAATAAGATTGTGATCACTTAAAGAGCAAAAATAAGAATTCATTACATGTGTTACTAAACATTCTTAAACTACCAAGAAGACACTCAATCTTCAAAGAAGCAGAATAACGAACCAAGTCTCTAGCAAACTTCAGGAACTAGAGAAACGATTTGCACATTTACACAAGATCTACTTTAGAGGCCAGCCATAGAAATCTGATCAATCACTCTTAACAACCCAACATCAATGATCCAATAATACCAAAAATTTATAAACAAAATAAAATCACACATGAAAGCATGCTAACAGAGAAGCGGGGATCCGTCAACAACATTCATCAAGCTATTGTCATAAGATGAGATAAGTACAAAAAGAACCTTTTATAGATGCATCTGAGCTTCGATTCCTTGACAACTTTTGAAGCTAAAACACCAACAAAATTGCGTAAAAGACCTCAACAGAAACTCGACCAAACCTCCTTGAACTCTGCTACAACGGACACCTCGACTCGATTCTTGGATTTTGGACTGGAATGCTCGATTTTATAGAGTATTTTCAGGCGATGTTCTCTCTCTATTTCCATCCTTCTCCATCATAGCAGTCAAAGGGAAAGAGGAGACAATGAGAAAGAAGATCAGTGGCCGTATTAGATTTCTCCGGCGAGTCCGGTGACGAGAAAGAGCGACGGCGGCATGGATCTTCAAGAGGTGTCATGGCCGCATTTGATTTTTTTGTCTTGTGCCTATGTGTGTGTGTTCCAGCGAGTGGGTGGTGAAGGGGTCGAGGAGAAGATGAAGTCAGGAGGGTCATCTGAAAGAGACCATATCCAGAGAGGGGAGGGGAGTCCGAAAAATGGTCACAAACGGCGCCTCATTTCCTAGATCCCTAGGGTCTTCCGTCTGATTAGAGCCTTTTGGCTTTTTGTGTATCTTTGATCTTTTTCAGAGAAAAACCACGGGTCCTCCTGGTTTTTTCGGTATTAGATACTATATATAGGGGTAAGGATTAGATTAGGGGTATGGGCCTAGGAATTATGGGCTTGGAAATTATGGGTTATGTCCAAAATTAGACCTAAAAATGGGTTGCTCGAGCCCAAGTTTTATACTTTCTCCGCGAATGGGACTAAAATACGACCTTATTTATTATTTAGTCATACCTAAATAAAATAACTGTTAAAATAAGACTGACCATTAAAACAAACTACTTTTTTTGTATTTTTTCAAGGTTAAAAATGACTAACAAAACATTAATGGAATAATTTTTTGTAATTTTTATTTTCTTGAATAAAATAAAGTAAAAGAGTACAAATTAATTAAAATAGCTATATTAGGCCTAAATTAAATATTTACGTTCTAAAATATGAAAAATCTTGGGGAGGGTCAAAAATCACATCCCCAGCAGAGTCACCAGAGCTGTCACACCTCCTTTTTACTACACTCCGGTATAAATGGGAGTTTTTTCCAATTTAAAGTGACAATCGAAATGGGATTGTTTTATTAAAAATTTAGAGTCGCCACTTGGGATAATTTATGGTGTTCCAAGTCACCGGTTCAAATCCCGAATTGAGGAAAAGATTGACTCTGTATTACAGTCCGTGAACACAGAAATCCGGGTGAGGAATTTTGTTAACCCGGGGGAAGGTTTTAGGCATCCCCGGATTCCGTGGTTCTAGCACAGTCGCTTAAACTATTATAATTGGCCTATTATCTGATTTTAATACATGTTTTATCCTATGGTATATTTAGCTTATTAACCGCTTTTAATCATTTTTAAGAAGATTCAACGTTATCTAAAACACGCCTTGAACCATGCCGCATGAAATGCACCCGCGGTCCACGACACGTTCTATTTAACCTTGTTGGAAATTAGAATCGGGTCACATGAAATGCAAACCCGGATCCCTTAAAAAAATAGTAATGTGTTGTTTTTGACCGAACAGGTTATCTAAAACGGAGTAAATGTATTCAGACTTAGCATGTAAACCATCAAAGGCAATAAACTCATGCACTTACCCGTTCAATTCAATCCAACTACACCCCTGGATCTTTTGCTATTATATTTATCTGCTTCAACAAACTCCATTCTTAGATTATATGAACAAACATGGCATCTTAACTTAAGAAACCAACAATACAAATACCCATTAAATTAATCTAAAATAAAAATGAATAAGATTGAGATCACTTAAAGAGCAAAAATAAGAATTCATTACATGTGTTACTAAACATTCTTAAACTACCAAGAAGACACTCAATCTTCAAAGAAGTAGAATAACGAACCAAGTCTCTAGCAGACTTCAGGAACGAGAGAAACGATTTGCATATTTACACAAGATCTACTTTAGAGGCCAGCCATAGAAATCTGATCAATCCCTCTTAACAACCCAACATCAATGATCCAATAACACCAAAAATAGATAAACAAAATAAAATCACACATGAAAGCATGCTAACAGAGAAGCGGGGATCCGTCAACAACATTCATCAAGCTATTGTCATAAGATGAGATAGGAACAAAAAAAACCTTTTATATATGCATCTGAGCTTCGATTCCTTGACAACTTTTAAAGCTAAAACACCAACAAAACTGCGTACAAAACCTCAATAGAAACTCGACCAAACCTCCTCGAACTCGGCTACAACGGACACCTCGACTCGATTCTTGGACTTTGGACTGGAATGCTCGATGGTTATGGAGTATTTTCAGGCGATGTTCTCTCTCTATTTCCATCTGTCTCCATCATAGCAATCAAAAGGAAAGAGTAGACGACGAGAAAGAAGAGCAGTGGTTGTATTAGATTTCTCCGGTGAGTCCGGTGACGAGAAAGAGTGGCGGCGGCATGGATCTTCAAGAGGTGTCATGGCCGCGTTTGATTTTTTTGTCTTGTGCATGTGTGTGTGTGTTCCGGTGAGTGGGTGGCGAAGGGGTCGAGGAGAAGATGAATTCAGGAGGGTCATCTGAAAGAGACCATATCCATAGAGGGGAGGGGAGTCCAAAAATTGGTCACAAATGGTGCCTCATTTCCTAGATCCCTAGGGTCTTCCGTCTGATTAGAGCCTTTTGGCTTTTTGTGTATCTTTGATCTTTTTCAGAGAAAAACCGCTGGTCCTCCTAGTTTTTTCGGTGTTAGATACTATATATAGGGGTAGGGATTAGGTTAGGGGTATGGGCCTAGGAATTATAGGCTTGGAAATTATGGGCTAGGTCCAAAATTAGACCTAAAAATGGGTTGCTCGAGCCCAAGTTTTATACTTTCTCCGCGAATGGGACTAAAATACGACCTTATTTATTAATTAGTCATACTTAAATAAAATAACTGTTAAAATAAGACTGACCATTAAAACAAACTATTTTTTTTGTATTTTTTCAAGGTTAAAAATGACTAACAAAACATTAATGGAATAATTTTTTGTAATTTTTATTTTCTTTTATAAAATAAAGTAAAAGAGTAAAAATTAGTTGAAATAGTTATATTAGGCCTAAATTAAATATTTACGTGCTAAAATATGAAAAATCTTGGAGAGGGTCAAAAATCACATGTCTACACAAGCTGCTCTCCTCTTGAATTTAGGCCCAGGATTGGGAGGATACTCTTGCAACTTATAACATTTATCAATTGAATGGCCTGGCTTCTTACAATATATGCACACCATATTAGTATTCCCCTTCTTAGAAGACTCAAAATTCACCTTAGAAGACTCAAAATTCACTCTCATAGGATAGGGCTTCTGAACACCAGAAAAGAAAGATGCTAAGTCAGAGTTAAATGTCGGATTAGAAGGTTGAAGCTCCACTTGACTCTCATCCTCGATTAGCATTTCATAAACACTATCTATGTCAGGTAAGGGTTTCATGAGCAGGATATCCCTTCGAGCACCAGAATAAGACTCATTCAATCCCATAAGAAATTGATGTACCTTTTGTTCCTCTTCTAACTTCTGGAATGCCTCTTTACATCCGCAGGTACACTCTGGATATGATATGGAATAAGCTAGTTCATCCCATAGTTTCTTAATTCGATTGAAATAAGAAGGAATAATGGAGGCTCCTTGAGAAATAGAGTCAAGTTCCTTCCTAATCTGAAATACCTTGGTTCCATTTGGTTTTCCATACCTTTGCTCAATTTCCTTCCATAATTTCTGAGCAGACTCAGTGTACATTACACTTTCTCTAATTTCTGTTTCTAGATTATTCAATATCCAAGCAATCACCATGTCATTACAACGACACCATGGTTCATACAGGGGAGAGTTCTCATTTGGCTTAGCAAATGTCCCATTGATAATGCCCAATTTGTTCTTACAAGACAGTCCTATCAACATACTTCTCCTCCAACTTCCATATCCAGTACCATTAAATGATTTGGTGACTAATACTGTCCCGGGTGAGTCGGAAGGATACAAATATAGTGGATGAGATGGTTCGACAGTAGAAGAAGCAGTGGAAGAAGAAGTTATAGTCGGAGGATCACCAATCGACCCCATACTTCAACAAAACTAGCAATTAAAGTCACAATTAACACATGCTGTGAAGAAATACCACAAATTCCGAGGAAATATTCACCCATACTATACACAATCGAGATTGAAACCAAAAAAGCCAACACGGCTCATGTCAAAGATGAGAACAGTAAATCAGAAGGAAATGTTACCGAATTTCGTCAATGTATTTGAGCGGAATGGAAAACGTGCCAAAAATTCGGTTGAAAACTCGCCGTAGAACCTCACCGTAGCACCGTCGAACCACCGCCAAAAGCAAAAAAAATGACCAAATCAATCAACACGGGTAGTGTCGATCGAACAACATGATTTGATTGGCTTTGATACCAAGATAATAGCTGAAATTCAAGTCAAAATTCAGTGCAATTTGTAATGAGAAAACCCTAGTTCTTAGCTAGGAAGAGAAGAAGAGACTAGAAGCAAAATTCTGGATTCATCTTCTTTCTGATAATGTAAAAACTGTACAAAAAGAATATATGGGCATGTTTATATATTTACAAATCAATCTTAAATAAAGGGACTAAACTAATGGACTAAGGAGGCCTTTGTTGGGCCTTGTGTGCATTTTGGGCTGAACCTCATCCTGGAGTCCAACAGGCACAAATGTTTATTAACAGACGCTTTCATTTGGGGCAAGTACTTTTATAAGATTCATTTTTCAGGATGAGAAAATAAATAAATGAAAGAGATTGTGTCCTTGGTTGTCGGAATAGTTAAGGACAGGTAGTCCTTAACTTTGACTCACAAGCTCATAAATTAAGGATAACTAGTCCTGAACTTACAATAACAAGCTCATAAGTTAAGGACACTTGGTTCTGGACTTAGAGTTGGAAGTTCAAAAATTAAGGACATTTGGTCCTTAACTTAGAGTTACAAGCACAGAAACTAATGATAGGTAGTCCTTAACTTAGAGTTACAAGCAGAAAAATTAAGGACAGGTAGTCCTGAACTTCGAGTTCCAATTTCAAAAGTTAAGGACATGTAGTCCTGAACTTAGAGTTACAAGTTCAAAAGTTAAGGACAGGTAGTCCTAAACTTAGAATTATAAATTAAGGACAGTTAGTCCTGAACTTATAGTAACAAGCTCATAAGTTAAGGACACTTGGTCCTAAACTTTATGAGCAGAAGGGTATTTTTGTCCGGGCAAGTATAAATTTATTAAAACAGTGACTAAAGACTAAGATATTTTAAACAGTGACTTAAAAGTAAATACATATTTTGTTACTGGCTAACTGTGCACTTCACCCTAATAATTCGTATTTTAAACTCCATTTACAAGCATCTCAAAGATATTCTAAAGTAAATTCAGAAAATGCAATTTGAAAAGGGAGAAGCATCGTATTCATACTTACCCTTCTTTTACCATAACTATTATCTACCAATTTTGTAGTAAAATACTTATATAGTAGGTAACAAATCATAAAAGCATTTACATATATGACATCCTAAGTGGTGCTGTGACATATAACTTTAACTGGCAAGCAGGATAGCCCTTCCATAAAGCAAGTAAAACAATCGCTTTAGCCTCATATTTGTGGGGCCCCTTTTTTGTTATACCCTAATAGACTCTGTATAACTTTAAAAAAGAGTTATGTAAAGTGAAAAAGTTTGATTTCTTTCTTTAACAAATATAGAGAAGAAGAATTTGCAACTGCTATGATTTCTACCAAGTAAATCGCACTTGAAATAAATATCAAACCCAAATTTTGTCAGAAATATGTGATATATAAGAAGTAACAATTTGATGCGAATGTTGATAATAAAATCTCAAAATCTTCCGACGACTCCATTAGAGTTGATTACTTTTATACATAATAGACAAGGCTATTTTTTCATTTCAAAATAGATTTGAACAATTTGAAGTATATGAAAATATTTTTGGTTTTCTATTTGGCAGTGAAAACTAAGACCACTAAATGCTGAAAATTTGAAAAAATATTGCCTTAATCTTGAATGTTCCTTAATGCGTAATAATCAATTCGATATTGATGGTTTAGATATATTTTCTGAATTAAAAAGTATTAAGGAAAATAGTACAATTAGAAGATATCAGTTTAAATGATACACTGAATCAAATAAAAATATTTAATTTTTTTCCAAATGCCTAAATTGCTTATGAAATAATGTTCATAACTCATGTTACTGTTGCTTCAGCGGAAAGAAGTTTTCAAAATTAAAATTGATAAAATCATACCTAAGAACAACAATGTCACAAGAAAGGTTAAATGGATTATTTATATTGTCAATTGGAAAATACTTATTAGGAGTTGTTGATTATAAAAAAAAATTATGAATAACTTTATATCTAAGAAAAGCTTAAAAAAATAGACTTCAAATAAATAATAATAATAAATTTAAAAATTTAAGACCCCTCATAAAGTTTGACTTTAAGCTACAAAATTCGCTGGACCGTCCCCGATACCCAGGACAAAGTTGTCAAGTTCAATATTGAAGTTGCAACATTTCTGTTGTAGAGATGAGCTATGATTATATAATATTGACTCCCTAGCTTCACTCTTACTTGAAAGTTGAATCCTTTCCAATTTACATATTCAATCAACTTTGAAAAAAAACTCTTAATTATATATATTCCCTCCGTTTCAATTTATGTGAACCTATTTCCTTTTTAGTTCGTGCAAAAAAAATAATCTCTTTGGAAACAATTTACCTTTATGCAATGATTTATAGCCACACAAAATATATGTGCTTCATTTTACACCACAATTTCAAAAGTCTTCTCTCTTTTCTTAAACTCCATACCCAGTCAAATGTGTTCAGATAAATTGAAACGGAGGGAGTATTATGAATAATCTGCTCTTCAAACCAGTGCCTAAAATGTGGGTTATAATAGTGCCAGTTTTAGTAGTAAGTTTGTGCTGATGTAGATGAATGTGATAGAGATGACATTTTCATAATTTTGCTATTCCTTCGTCCATTTTTAGTTATCCATTTTTAACTTTGCACTCCATTTAAAAAAAAATAAATGAAGTATGTATTATAATTTTATTCATAATAATAATAGCATTTTCAAAAGTATTGAGAAATGATTTGAGGAATGAGTAGCTACTTATAAGGGTAAAACAAGAAAAAAAAAGATTGTCTTTCTCTTGATTTAATATAGTTGACAAGTAAAAATAAAAATATATTTTTAATATAGTGAACAAGTAAACGTGAATGGAAGGAGTACCTTTTCCACAATTTTTTTTCCAGAAACAAGCTTTTGAAATTAAGCAAAGAATGTATCTTACTTGTACTTAATTTGTTGCAGAAATTAAAGTGTCTTGTCATTGAAGTTGCGAAGATGATGTAGTTGAACTACAAGTTAATTTATCAATTTCTAAACATTAAATCGTCCGAAATCATTAAATGGTGACGCGTTTAAAATTCTTAAATTTCATAATAAAAACACAATAACTTAACAACAACCAAAAGAAATGTGAGGGAACCCCATGTGGAGGACCGGGAAAGGTATGGACTTGTGGGTCACGGAGGAAATAATGTCCAAAATTTCACATGGCAAAGAGTAAATCACGGCAACAACCCTACATTTTTGGTTAAACACCAAAATGGGCCCCAGAACTTTGGATCCCATCATCTTCAATCCCCAAATCCAAATAACTCCAAATACTGTCATCAACTAAAGGGGTCACTACCACTAGTTATTTTTAAAAAAAAATAGAAGTACTTACACACGATGAGGTTTAATGCTATATTGGAGTAAAAATATATATTTCTTTACCATGACTAAATAATATAAGCACTAATAAATTTCATTTAAATTGATGATTTTCTTAGACATGAAGTTCAAAAATCACACAAACATATAACATTCTATAAGTACTAGGGGTGTTCGTCGATCGGTATAATACGGTATTTAGATATTTCGGTTTGGTATTTTTGATATTCGGTTTCTTAAAATGTTATACCAATACCGTACCTAATTAAATTTTGCATGTTTCGGTTTTTCTCCTTTCGGTTTCGATTTATTCTGTTCGGTAAATTCGATTTATTCGGTTTGAATACTAACTTGTGCATCGAGTCATAGAATGTAATATTCTTAATTAAAGTACTCAAAAGTATAAAACTAAAAATGTTTGTTGACAAAAGTTTTATCCAAACCCAGTAAATATCAACTCAGAGAGAGAAAATTGTACATAAAAGAATAAATTTGATCATTAAAAATGTCTTGTTAGTTGCTTAGAGTTACTTGATGAACTTAGAGAATAAAGAAAAGCAAAAATTTTAGATTTTTTATATTTATGTTATAATTAATAATATGTGTATTGAGCAATATAATATATATTTCGGTACGGTATCGGTATTTCGGTATTTCATTTTAAAATACTAAATACCATACATATTACCGTTTTTAAAAAAAATTAAACCAAATACCATACCGAATACCAAAATATTGAGTACCAAATACCAAAATTTTCGCTTTCGGTAGGGTAATTCGGTATTTACCAAATTATGCACCGCCCTAATAAGTACTGATAGAATCTTGTGATCTTTTATTACTATTAAAGATAAATCTAAAAAGTTAAAAAAAATAAAAATCACATAAAATTGTATTAATTTTTTGTAGAATCAAAAAGAAAAACATAATCCCATAAATCCGAAATATTTATGATGAACAATAATAATAACAGATAGAATATCGATCTAAACGGAGCCGCCCTTAAGTGGAAGATTTTATGACGCCTCTTTATTAAATTTTCTAACCGTCAACATCAATAACCACCATTTATTCTCCCGGTTTCCGCGTATAACATAATTCAAGATTGAGAACAATCCATCGGGAGAAATTAAAAAATAGCCAGATTTATAATTGGTCGTTCAAAAATAGCTCAATTTTAAAAATAATTAAAATTTAGTTACTTTTTATGTAAAGATAAATTTGACCGAAAACACTGTTCAAAACTCGAAAAATACGCCAGTATATTATGCTGAAGTTCCAGCATAAGTATACTTGAACTCCAGCATAT